GCATGCACACTAACATGTACTGGACATGATCTACAGTTGGCAATGTGGGAGTGCAGCAACATAACCGTGTCCAGGACATGATCTATAGTTGGCAATGTGGGAGTGCAGCAACATAACCACTATGCTATCTGCTGACTTAAGGTGGGGTTTTTTGTTTTTGTTTTTGTTTTTGTTCTTGTTTTATAATAACTGTAGTTCCATCCTCAGTCTTTGAGGTCATTTGGAACTCCAGTCCATTTTCTTCTATAGGATTTCTATTACTGCCTTAACCTGTTTCACCAAATTCTGTAGATTTGCTTTAAAAGCTTATTTTTGTCTTCTTTGTCCTTACCATCCCTTTTGTAAGAATATCCTATCTTACCCCTCTGCTTCTCAAACTTGTAACTGTTACTCTGGTCTGTTAAAACAGACCGGTTTTCAAAAACATCCATAGCCACCACTAATAATTTCCTGTACTGGAGCATGTATGCATAGTTACCATTAGGTATTTAATAGATGCTAAGTTCTACTATCATTCATTTAAAATTTCTATGAAACATGTATACGTTTTAGTATACTTATGCATAACTTTGTTCCAAAATATCATAAGTAGGTTCAATTCAATTGCTACTATCAGCACTTTACTCAGAACTACAAATATAAAATAAATTTAAGAAACACTTTTTGCCTTTATGATATATAAAATCTTATGTACGGGTGAAGAATAAAAATGACATGTAGTGGAGGGGAGAATAAGATTTGTGTATTGCAATTACATAAGATATGTTAATTATGGGATTAAATTTGTTTCTTCCACTCGATGGTATGTCTTTTCGAGTACAGACATTATCTTCTTGACCACAGCTGTTTTTTACTTCTAGCGTCTAGTTTCTGGAGGTTCTGAGTGTCTAGAGTTCTCTGTAGTTGGAGCTATTTAGGTAGAGTCTAGAAAATGTACTTAATATTGCCAAGGGATTCAAACACTGACTAGTAATCAGAAGAGGATGAAGTGCAAATAATTGTATATACATGTATGAGCTGCAGGTGGTCCCATCTGGGCGCTCCTCTAAGAATATAATGCTGGGACCCAGCAATTAGCGTAATGGCTATGTTGCTGGACTCCCATGTACTTGAGCACGGTTCAAGTCCAGATCCAGTGGTTTAAAACTCACACTGGGCATGTGTGCGTGTGTACCCAAGATTCCGAGAGGAGAATAGAAGAGAAAGGATTGTGGCATGGCCATCCCCCCTGGCAGGTGATTTCTCTCTTTCTGTCTCTCTCTCTCTTTCTGGCGAGCACACGCACCCTGTAGCAAAAACCTCTCCAAGGGGCTAGCAGTTAGCGTAATGTCTATGTCGCTGAACTCCCATGTAGTCGACTGCAGTTCGAGTCCCACACCCAGGGGCTTAAACTCACACTGGGCGTGTATGCGTGCGTGACCAAGATCCCAAGAGGAGAATGGAGGAGAAGGGATTGTGGCATTGCTACCCCCCAGGGAGTGATTTCTTGCTTTCTGTCTCTCTTTCTGGCAAGCACACATATCCTATAGCAAAAACCTCTCCAAAAACAAAAACAAACAAACAAACAAAAACTCTCCATAAAAAAAGGATATAATGCAGGCTGCTGATCTGATAGGAGGTGGAAGTCAGGAAGTAATGTGAGTGATAGGGAGTGGCTGTAAGTACAGATGAAATTTTGCCCATTCTCCCACCATTCAGGGTGGCCCTCCTGCTGTATGGTCCTGCTCTTTACAGGGCACAGACCAATCAATACCAGTCCATGGCCTGGGAGTTGGGGACCTCTCCTTTACTGAGAGGAAATGCAATGTAACAATGTAACAAAATGCACAGGATTTGGAGGCAGAAAACTGGGTGTACATCTCAATTTTAAGCCTCGGTTTCCTTATCTACTAACATAGTAAAATCAAAATCTCATTGAAAGTCATGTTCTCTTGAAACTAAGTAAATTAATACAGAGTAACTAGAATCTTTTAGGTACTCAAAGCATTAGTTTACTCTCTCTTAACATATTATCTACCCATTAGTAAGTAGAACCAGCTAATATTTTGTTATATGAGAATTTTCATGGAATTCAGTTTTTTAATTCCTCAGATCTACTTCAGTCATGGTGATGGATCTATAAAATGCAAATGTTTTCTAGCAAAATGTTAATACTTTTTTTTTTTAATTATTTAAGGTCTGGGTTAGGTTGGATGACAAACTAAAATTTACATTATTTTTTAGTGTCAGCTCATACTAATGATGATTTTAAACAGCAATCTCAATTACAGTGAGCTTTTTCTTGGCAGGCCAGCTGCAAGGAATGGAGCTGATTACCTACATACATTCTGTGTGGTCAGAAACTTAATGCAGAGACTCAGCAGGGAAGTCTGAAGAACGAATTGATTCATAGTGTGATTTATAATACAGTGAGCCTTTTCTAAGAAATTTTATCTAAAAGTTAAGAACTCTTTTGAGATTTTTCTCTATCAACTCAGCATGGTGCTATTATTTTGTTATAGAGACACTTAAACTTTTGTTTTTCTTACCCCTTACAAAAGAATCAATAGTCTAAAATTAGAGTGGAGAGTAGCAGCTCTTGAGTGTTAATCTAGGTTGGTATTGAGGACTTCCAAGCTTCCTTCCAGCAGTTTATCAGTCATTTATTGAACTCTTTACTCATGGAATTGTTTTTAAGAAAATAATTTAATATAAAAATAATATGACATAGGACAGGTTTTAATAAAATATGATATAGAAGTTTTTCAAAAACAGTACCTGTACACATATTCCTGTTCTCAAGGTATGTCATTGTAGATGTATTTTGGGAACTTGTCTAAACTGATAATACTTCCTCTTCTCTGGAAACTAACCTCTTCCTGTATTATCATTAGGGTTAAATTCCCAATAACCATGTTTATATTGTGTAAACACTCCCTCATAACCAACTGTTGTCACTGGTAGCTAGTAAGTGATAGATCCCAAACTAAACTAATCCTAATTTTGACTAACTTCTTTCTAAAGTCTGGGGTGACTGACTAATGCCAGATACCTGAGGTGTGGGTTTATGATTCTCCCACTCCTTTTACCTTTGTTTCCAAAAACTCCTTATGCTTTTATAGTTTACTCTTCCTTGCCTCATATTCAAGCAATATATTCATTATAAAATCGAATGGACATGAGGGACCAGCAGATGGTGTGGTGGTTAAGGCACTGGACTCCCATGTGGCCAGCAGTAGTTCGAGTCCTGGACCTACCAGCTTGCTTTCTCTTTCTCTCTCTCTGACTCTCTCTGGTGAGTACACATGCCCTATAACAAATTTAAAAAAAATAAGAATAATAATAAATTAAATTAATTTAATAATTATTTTAAAAGACTGAATGCACATGAAAGACTACAGGTTCATTTTGCCAACCTTGTTCTCTCTCACAGTGACATATATGTCATATAAATCATTTGATTAATAACAATGTTGACCATTATTACCTGTAAGATATTCCTCTCTTTTAAGTTTTGAAAGAAAGATATGACTATGGAGCTAAAACCTCCCTCGGAAATAAAAACAAAGGTTTAGCCCACCCTCGCTATGAATTTTTAATTCACTCATTTGACAAGTACTTATTTCACTATGTCTCAGGCAAGACATGGCGGAATCAGAGCTAGTACCTGCATTATCTGACTTATGGACTTGTTTACAAAGTACAATGTGATTTTTGCTTCTGATTTTGCAGTTTTAGGATTGTCTACCAGTTTTAAATATTGATACCTGGTATATAAAATATAGTTTAGTTGAATACATTTCATCTGTTCCAATAGAAGTGAATTTCTACATTTTTTGTTTTTGCTCGTACAGATACTAGTCAATGTTTCCTATTAAATGGTAACATTATTCCTAATAACTAAGATATACTGAATGTTAATGAAGTCTGCTGACACCTATTAACTATGTTCACTTTATTTTAGGGTTAGGTTTTGATGCATTGTTAATCAGTCAATAAAAGATTTATGTTTTGAGTGCCCAGTATATGACAGTCACTGCCCTTGAAGAGTTAATATTAAATGAGCAGTAATTCACAGATGGCACCCGTGTTTGTGTGTGGTTGAATGAAACGAATGCCTAGATCAGGTGATGGGCATTCAAGAGAGGTTAAAGGCAAAACATAAGTCTGTTTCAGGGGATAATAATCTGACTAGTTTTGATTTAATGTAACATTTACTGTGGATTTCCTCTAGTTAGGCAGTGAATAGGAAACTTTCTTTTTATAAGTTTCACAATCTAGGAGAAATGGACTCAAGGACAGAAATACAATGTAACAGGTAGAGGACTGACTGCCTAAAGGAAAGCATGGAGGGTCTAATGATGTTCAAGACCATCAAGAAACATTGCAGATGGGAAGGGAGGGTAATGCTTAGAGACACTGCATTTCCTCTGTTTATTCTACATTTTTTGAGTTCTTTATGTCAATTCCGTATCTTTTATGTAGTGAAAGATAAGTATTGGGTTGTCAGGAAATTTACAATGCATTTTTGTACAGAAAAACATAGAAACATGTGTCATGACTTTCCTGACAACCTAATATGTGCAAATCAAAGACCAGACACATGGTCTTATATTATTACAACAGTTGATAACACAATCACATTATATTTGTCAAATATTTCTGAGTTTTTTTAAAATAATCTTATGGTGTCTCAAGAGAATTCACCAAATATAAGATGATTCACATTATGTTTATAATTATTTCTCATTTGAAATCTGACCAAGCCTTAAAAGATAAGAAAACCTTAGGTGAGTTTGACTTCTACAACACAAGTTACTTAACTGGCACTAACAATGATGATATCTGTACATGGAAAACTTTTCTCAAAATACTCTCATTTAAACACACTGCTTAAATTCTGTTGCAAATGACATTTGTTTTCTGCAACAAACAAACATGACCTGCAAATATTTCTGAGCTTAGTTTGTTAACCAGTCAAGGTAACTTTTCCCCACAATGGGTTACTTGAGGGTACTTACATATTCTTCATAAGCCTCATGGGCTGGAGGAGGGGGTGCTCTGTATCCTGGCACTGTTGATGTCCCCCGGGCTCGAGGGGTAGGGACGCCTCTTGCTACAGGGGGCACTGGAAGAGCTCCACGGGTCACAGTGGTCCCTCGAGGGGTGAGGACACCTCGTCCAGGTGGCGGCGGAGGAGGAATGGCACCCCCACGGCCCCTAGGAGGAACAGGTCATGTACAGATGAGAAGTCAAAAGAGTCTGTAATAGGGAAAGTCTCCACACAATGGAAGAAATTCAAATTTCTCTCTCCCTCTCTCTGTGTACAGGTATGTGTTTAATAGAGATTATTTAAAATGTAAAGTGTTTTGACTTCCATGGCAGAATATATTTTGTAAATAGTATGACTTAGTTTGCATGAACAACTGTAAAATACTTTGACTCTGTCTTATATCTGATCAAAACACTAAAGCAAATAAATGAGATAAAACAAAAACAAAAACCCCACTCTGACTATAATGCAAATTTGCCAGGTAAATCCAAATTAAAGGATCCTTGGATATATAACTCTCTAGACCATGTACAGAACCAAACAGCTCTATGTCTAAGCTTCCACTATGCTGGGGGTTATCGATAGTGATGCGCAATGCTGTCAATAAAAAAAGAAATCTGTCTGCACTTTAATAACATGTGGAATTCTAGCCATGGTGATATCGTTCTGTTTATTATAGTAGCTTCAGTCTGAGGTCACTTGAAATCACAACTCATTGGCGCTGATTTATCATTACGCCTGTACCCCCTGAGCTGGTGCAATCCCAGACATAATGCATTTTCTTATGGTAGCTATTGTGCTAGTGGAATATATTAGTACTCTGCAATAAAAAGAATAGACTGAATACTCTGTACCACAGTTCTTGACACAAAAGGAACTTGCACTAAAAACGTTAACATCAAATGGTTACAGACAACTTTTATGATATTCTGAGCCCTTTGGAAAGGTTGAGTGTTTGTCTGAAATCTCTGTGCAAAAGCACGGTTATTTCACTTTTTATTATGTCTGAAAGGTTGGCCTCCAGAAAGTACTGCTTTCAGCAGG